ACCCATTTGGGCTCGGATTAAGTTTTTTTTTGGTTAAAACCCTCGGTAGGGCATACATGTTAATATCAAAAAAACTGTTACCGAGACCTTAGAAGGTTCCTCTAGCTCACTACTGCTCCACAGAGCTACAATCAAAAAAGAAAACCAAAAAACCTATGAGCTGATGGATCCTTTTCCTACGATTACAAAAAGAACCTAAGTAAAAGCTCGGGCTGTGAGTAAACAGCACCCAAAAAAAGAAGAGTAGAGAAATATCCTTCAGCACGATCTTCTTGCAAAAAAAACTGAAAATAACAGAAAAAGTAATACAAGAAACAAACTAAGATTACCTTGCTGTCGTTTAAGCTCCTAATATCAAGATCCCTGCAAGGCAATCTCCAAAAAACGAAGTGAGAAATATAATAGATAATATAAACATAGTACCAAGTAGTATATCTGTTAGCCCAAAAAACAGTATGATTATGAATGATCTGCAACGAACAGAGAAACTCACTGGAAATCCAACCAGCACAAGTAACAATCTTCCCAACACAAATCCTCACACATAAGGACTTCCTCCAAAAATAACCACCCCAGCGCATAAACAAAGCATACCACAAAATGTAATACCGATCAAAATCACACCAACCAGCCATGGTGTTATGAAAAATAAAAACCAGAGAAAACAAACTATCACTGGACAAGCAGATAAAAAGGTTCTCAATCCCGTACTGGAAGCCAAGACAAAACTACATAGAATACTATATTTGAGAAATTGAAAGCATGGAACAAAGCATAAGCGGACAGACATAATAATCCTCCCAGGAAAAACAAACTCAGACGAGACAAAAACAGAACAGCCAAAGATACATAGAGGCACACCAAGTCAGCAGGCTACCAAAGACACAAAAGCACATCGGGTCAACCATGACGAATGTAAGAGGAGAGGGAAGAACATTGGGCCCCAATTTATCAAGCATGATCATGCCTTTAAGAGGAGAGGGAAGGTTAATAATAGGTAATTCTTGATAATACTCATTACCAGAGCCCAAGTTAGCCAACCAATCCGCACAAGCATTGTCTTCCCGGTAATTATGGGATATGGTAAAATTAAAACTAGAAAGTAACAGTTTAATTCTCCGGATAATGTAAAATTCATTAGGATAAACAACATTAGTAGCAGATATAGCTTGAATAGCAAGTTTAGAATCAACTTTAATATGCACATTCTGAATACCAAAATCCAAACAAATCTTTAATCCTTGGGATATACCCAAAAGCTCAGAAGTTAACACATATTTAGTAGACATAGGCCCAGCAAAAATAGCAATAGGATTACCAATAGAATTACGGATAATACCACCCATACCTGTAGTAGTCTTCCCAACAGAATCATCCGTATTTAATTTAATGTAAGGAGTAGTAGGTTTAAGCCAATTCACAATACTATCCACCTTAGTAACATTAGCAACATTGATATCAATACCAAAATAGCTAGCCAACCGATTATAGCTCTTAAATTTTTTTTGAGAAAGGAGATTAACAACAATTAAACGCAACACCTTATTCCTCACATTGTTAATGATCTGATTGGCACAAATTTTAATATTATTATGTTTATAATCACTTCTAGCTTTCCAAATATACCAAATAACCAAAATGGGAATTAAATAGAAAATATGCCCTTTACCTTTAGAAAACCAGATACCGAGAATTTCCTGTAAACTGCAATGCTCACTAAAGTTAACTAAATCAGCTAGGTTGAAAAAATGGCACCAAACCCTTCTAGCAATCATATTATTAACAAAAACATGTTGAACACTCTCAATGTTGAAGCAACATTGACATTTAGAAGCAAAATAAAAACCTTTCTTATAGAGATTGATATCCACAGGCAAATACTCTTTAAGGCACCTCCAAGTGAGCAAATAGTAAGATAAAGGAATCGTGTTATGCCACAGGGAGCCAAATATGTGAGAGGCATCGCCTTTAATACGAATATCCTCCCAAACTTTTTTAATACTAAACTTACCACTGGCCGAAAGATTAAAGAATATGTTATCTTGGTTTTGCACATTTAAAGGAATACTAACAATTTTCTCAACAATAAAGTTAGGAATCTCTTCACAGAGTTTAGCATGGTTCCAATCCCCATTAATAAAAAACTCTTTCACTCTGGTATTAATATAAGTATGGGAATTAAGATGAGTATCAATAGAAGAACACCACATCCAATTATCTTGCCGAAAAGACACATCCCCATTACCAATCCCCCATTGAATAAATTTCTCGACCTCCCATTTGATTTTACAAAGTCTTTTCCAAACAGTGGAGTCAGTATTTTTAAAATGACAGACAAGATGGTTAAGATTCTTATAATACTTAACTTTCAAGAATTGAGCCCATAAACTCTTATTAGATCTAAACCCAAACCAAAGTTTATGAGAAAAAACATGCACTGTATCAGAAATGGACTTACATCTAAGAGAACCTTCTTTAAAAACCTCGCAAATTTTTTTCCAACTAGCCCAATTAATGCAAGATTTATTATTGTTGGCACCCAAAAAAAACTTGTTTATCATTTTCTCCATTCTCAAACAAACCGTAGACGAGGCTGTAAAGTATGAAAAAGAAATATAGGTATCGAATTCAGAACACTTTTAATTAAAGTTAATCTACCACCAAAAGAAAGGAAATTAGAGGATCAAGTAAGGAATTTTCTTTGAAATATAGAAAAAATGTTTTCAAAAAGAGAGGTCCTCTTTCTGCCCTTAAAAAGAGGAGTCCCAAGATACTTAATGGGCAAAGAAGAAGAGCTAAACCCACACACTCTTTTAATTCTATCATGCCTACTATTGTTAACAGACTTGCTAGTAATAAAATTACTTTTGTCTCTGTTAATATATAAACCACTTATATTTTGGAAACCATAAAGAAATTGGGTTAACAATTTAACATTATTAATTGAAGCATTGGAAAAAAATGATAAAATCATCAGCAAAACTGAGATGCGTAATAGGAAAACCACCAGCAGTACTAAAATGGAGCTTAGGGTGCATTTTGTAGAGTCTCTCAAGACCTCTAGAGAGATATTCCATAACAATGATAAACAGGGAAGGAGAAAGCGGGTCCCCTTGCCTAAGCCCATGCGTAGAGTTAAAATAACCATGATTGGAACCATTAATGATGATAGAGAAAAAATAGTTTTCAATGCTACTCTTAATAAGCAACAAAAAGTTTTGATTGAACCCAAACATAGACAGAATATTGTAAAGGAAATCCCAATTTAAATTGTCATAAGCCTTAATTATATCAAGCTTGAAAAGAATATTACCTCCACTGATTTTAGCATTGATATCATGAACCATCTCTTGTGCTAATAAAATATTATCAAAGATACTCCTGTCTTTAACAAACCCAGTTTGATTAGGAGAGATAATTCTAGGCAATATAACAGATAATCTAGAAGCAATGATCTTAGCAACAAGCTTGTTAAAGAAAGTGCACAGGCTAATAGGTCTAAAATCATTCCAAAAATAGACGTTCTCTTTTTTAGGGATAAGCATAATATTAGTGGAAGAGAAAAATTTGGGGTAAGGATTCCCATTAAAAAAATCCTGCACAACATTAATTAAATCCTTCATGATAATTAATATCCAAAATTTTGATAAAAAATTTAGTAGAAAAACCGTCCGGACCAGCTACCGACTCCCCATTCATATTCTGAATAGTATTCCAAATCTCTTCTTCCAAAGGAAGTTGAGTGAGTAAAACATTATCTTGCTCAGTCACAAAACTAGGAATAACATTATAATAAGAAATAGATTTAATAGAATGGTTAACATTAAAAATATTTTTAAAAAACTCAACACCCGAGAAAGCTATAGAATCTTCCGTATCATAAACAATACCTTGGTTATCCACCAACCTGTTAATATGACTTTTAATTCTATTTTTATTCACTAAAGCATGAAAAAAGGCCGTATTTCTATCACCTTCCAAAAGAATAGAAGAAGAAGTCTTTTTGTTTCCAAAAAATTTCTTCCTGGTCCTGTAATTTGAAAAGCTTAATTCTAGCATTATCAAGATTAACAAGATTAATATAAGAGGACCGGAAGATCCTGATACAAAGTGTCAAGCACCACGACCTTATCTTCCGCTTCTTTAATATTATCAAAATATTTTTAAAAACATGCTTATTCCACCATCTTAGTAACTGTTTTAGTCTGCTCAGCTTAGCCCAAAGTCTAGACATACCTTGCACATTGTTGTTAGGAAAAACATTAGCATGCCAATTAGCCGAAACAACATTAATAAAATCAGAATGGCTAAGCCACATATTCTGAAAACGAAAAGACAAAGAGCGTTTAGTTTTATTATCAGAAATATGCAACAGAAGAGGAGAATGATCAGAAAGAGTTCTACTCAAATGATGAACTTGAGTTAATTGAAATTTACTAATCCAGTCATTATTAAACAAAATTCTATCAAGCCTTTGCCATATTCTAGCACGGCTCCAAGCAAAACTATTACCAGAAAAATCAATGTCAGTTAAATTGCAATTAGAAATCATATCATTAAAATCACTCATAGCATTAACATTAGGAGGATTACCCCCTCTCCTTTCTCCAGCATGCGAAATAATAAAGTTTCCAATTTGATGTCATTGGGTTCGTATTTCCAAGATGCTCAGTTTGGCTGTAAGTTCGCTAAAATCGAAGTTTAGATGATCCCAGAATAAATTTTTGTAAGTTTCAAATTTGATTTTTGCCTCGAAATTCGTGGCCGATCAAGATAATTTATTTATGATATATCAATCCCATATATATATATATATATATATATATATATATATATATGAGGGGGTCATATGCCACCATAAAGCCTTCCATAATGCTCCTTTTGTTAGTGCTCAAACACCATTAGCTAGATAGACTTAAATATTTGAATAATTCAGACCCAATAATATGATGATATAATAACGACGACTAGTTATATAGCAACATTCTCTTTTCCTTCAAAGCCCGATGAACCTTTCTCTGCTAACTGTTCTCTCCTTTCCCCTTCTCTTCCCCTCTTCCTTCGATCTAAAGTAACGTCCATGGCGCAAAATTGTAAAGATAACTGACGATAACTTAAAAGTTGCCCTCTCCACGAGTCAAGCACTACCTCCAACAAAGTTCTCTTCTCTTCTCCCTCAAGACTTCTATTTAACTCAAGGCAAGGCAATCCCTAACACTTCCCCTTCTCCTCCTAAACACCCTCTCTGCAAGCAAAGAAAGGAATTCATAGCTCTCCTTAATTACATCTTCCTCCTAGCACCTCCTCCTTCCCCTTCCTCTGCCTCCTCCATATTCGCTCTCCTAGTTTCTCTCTTCTTCATCATGAAAGCCCCATTATTTGTCTTCTTCAAACAAGTCACAGTTCCCTTTATTATCGTGTTGATTCTTTTCTCTTCAGGTGCTTATCATACCCTTCTTCATATCAACGTCTGTGAGGAGGATTATTATTATTAGCTTATAAATTTCCAATAAAATATATAATTTTTCGGAATGCAATAAACCAATAAATATTCATTTAAATGTCTTAAAATTTTATTTATTTTGTTATCATTGTATATTAAGAACTGTCACATGCCGTAAATAATATTTCACTCACGCTGGTTTTTTTTTTAGTTTTATTAAATTTGAAAAATATTATGTATAATATTAAATATTATATTTTTTATTAAATTCTTTTTCGTGTTATTACTTTAAATTTTAATTCTGCCACTTGTGAATGATATAATCATATAATTGCGTAATCTATTATGTCTATTGTGATCAGAATTTGGAATAGTAAAGCAGGTTTCAGCTCTGGGCATCAACTACGGACAGGTGGCCAACAACCTGCCATCGCCCGAACACGTCCTCCGCCTTCTCAGTTCTCTTCATATCACCAAGACCCGAATCTACGACACGAACCCGAAAGTCCTCTCTGCTTTCGCCAACTCCAGCATCGAACTCATAGTGACCGTTCCCAACGAGGCCGTGGCCGGGCTCGCCGACCCAGCCCGAGCCACCGATTGGATCAGCACCAACATCAGTCCATTCCTCCCCGACACAAAGATCACCGGAATCGCCGTCGGGAATGAGGTTTTCACCTGCCAAGATAGCGTTTTGATGGATAACGTCGTTGATGCCATGATGGGACTCCATCAAGGCCTCGTTGGTCTTGGCCTCGACTCCGTTATCCACGTCTCGACAGCCAGCTCCCTCGCCGTCCTCGCCACCTCTTACCCGCCGTCCCTCGGGTCGTTCCGGCCCGAGCTTGCTGAGCTGATCGGGCCGCTCTTGCGGTTCCTGTCTGTTACGGGCTCGCCGTTTTGGATAAACGCTTACCCTTATTTCGCCTACAAGGACGACCCGGAGAGGGTGCCGCTTGACTATGTATTGTTTAACTCCGGGTCGGGCATGGTTGACCCGAACACCGGGCTCAAGTACGACAATATGCTCTACGCCCAGGTGGATGCTGTGATCTTCGCCATTGCAAGGTTTGGATACGAGGGAATAGAGGTGAGAGTATCGGAGACGGGGTGGCCGTCCAAGGGAGATGACGACGAGATGGGAGCAACTGTGGAGAACGCGATGAGTTACAACAGGAATTTGGTTGCGCGGCAGCTGGAGAACGAGGGGACGCCGCTGAGACCAAGACCAAGGCTTGAGGTTTATCTGTTCGCTTTGTTCAATGAGAACTTGAAGCCCGGTCCGACGTCCGAGAGGAACTACGGTCTTTACCAACCCGACGGCAGCATGGCATACAACGTCGGACTTTCCTCAGCAACGTCGACGGCGTCGGTTTCCGACATTAATTCATCTGCTTCATGGGTATGCTCTGTCAACTCTTCTACTTCATTTTTATTGAGAAATGCTCTTTAAATCAATAAAAGGCATGAAGGTAGCTTCACAGTCATCCAATTTATATTGGAAAAATATAAATTAATGAGATTTTTATATGTTTGATCTATTTCTTCCTCTCTGGTTTATCGCACCTGCATTTAGTTCAGCAAAATATGAATAATAACAAAACTTTTTTGTGAACCAGATACAACGGGACAAATCAAACTGCTTGTGGTTTTGTATCATCTCAATCTCATTAGCCTTTCAGATTTCAATCAGATGGCCATTCTAGGAAACAAGATGGTATCATGTAAATGCTACTCCTCACATTCTTATTCCCTCTCTCACTCTCTCTCTCTCTCTCTCTCTCTCTCTCTCTCTCTCTCATGTCTTTCTTCCTCCTGCGTCCCTTTGGAGAAAATAGCAAGCCATGAGCAATCCTCTGGACCTGTAGCTCCAAAGTATAAAGGCTCTTGTACAAATTGAGGTACATAAAGATCCTATTTTTTTGTTCTAGCTTCACTGTGCACATTATGCAGATGAATTTTATAAATAAATTTTAATTATCAAATAATGTATTATATTTATTTTTAAATAAATTTAATGAATCTAAAATTCATTCTGATTTCTGAACATTAGTAAGTTCGAATATATCTTCTATCTCTCTAATTTTATGTGCCACTTGATCTACTCATAAATATATATAATATTTATGAGTAGATCAAGTGGCACATAAAATTAGAGAGAATTGTCTTAGATTGTTTGGGCAGATAAAATCTTGATCTTTCAATAACCCGGTTAGGATCTACCGAGTCTATGTTAAGAAAAATAGAGGTAGACCTAAAAAGACTTGATTAGAAAGTATTAGAAATGACAATTTCTACTAGATTTAATGGAGAAAAAAGAAAACATTTAGCCATCTCCACGTAGTAGGTTAAAGAGTTAGGCTTCGTTTGAGATGGCTTTTTAACTGATTCTTAAAGCAACTTTTTAGTACAAAAAATTTTGTTTTTGCACTAAAAAGTTGTTTTAAGAAGTAGGAAAAAATATGTCCCAAACGAAGCCTTAATTAATGTTGTACTCATATAAAAATTTAAAATTATATAAAAAAAAAGACAAGTCAAGTTTGAGCTAGCTATAACTCAACTCATTCAATACCTTACATATTGATCGTCTAATCTACTAGCTAGTTCAAATAATTTTATTTTTGTACATTTAGGTCAATTAAAACAAACTCACACACACATCACATACACAATACTCGAACTCAATATCTCTTTGTTGGTAACCAAAGCCCCCAACCAATAAACCAAGATGAGCTAAAATAGTAAATTCAAGCTTGAAGCTACTGACTTGATGTAGCACAATCCAGATATATATTTGTAAAAAATTAAGTAGTTTTTAAAATTAAATAATCATAAAAATAAAAAGTAAAAAGAATATATATTGATCCTTATCATCTTCTCCCATTCGTTATAAAGTGATTATAGAAAAGGAATAGATCTTATTAATTATTAACTAGAAAAAATAGAAGAAAAAGAAGAGCAAAATAGAGAGAGTGTGTGATAAAGATAAAAAAAAAAAGAAGAATTGATATCTCCATCATATAATATTTTTTTGTCAAACACAAAGATAGGATATATAAAAGGTAACACCAAGTGATACTTGATAATGGATAATGCCATCCACTTATACTCAGGGCTCTTATTGTGCTTCCTTTTGGGAGTAGGATATAATATTGTGGAGGTTATTAAAGGATGGTCTCTTGGCATGAATACAAATTATAGTACTCAGTTCATCTTGGTCTGTTGGTTGGGAGCTTTGGCTACTAACCAATAGGTCTTGGGTTTGAGTCTTATACATGTGATGTGCGTGTGAGCTTGTCTTATTTGGCCTAAATAGTTTAAAAGCTATTTCTTGGAGACATTAATATAAATGAAAATATATATTTTAAGAAAGTCTAAAGCCCTTATGATCATCATAAAAAGAAATTTGCCTACATGTTATTGCAAATTTATTAAGATCATATATAATTAATCCATATGTTCCATTATTGTAAAAATATTTCACCAAGGAACACCCATAATATGAATCCATAAATGGAGAGGAGCAGGATTAGAAGTCCTAACTACTAAAGAATAAATACCTTAAAGTACTAATTTACTAAAGAATATATATGAACTAATTATGCCATAATCAAGCATTTTTTTTCTATTGTATAAATGCAATACAATATCTCACCCTCAACGGTTTACCTTGAGTTCATTTGCCTAAGGTTTAATATAGTATTAATGACATATAGTTTAATAGTATGTATGCCCTAATTAGAAGTTTTCATCGACCATGAACTATATAAACTAGGCTATCCACAATTTGGTACCCTATTTATGCAAGTTCACACTCAAATTTATTCTTGAGGATTTTACTTCAACATGTTTTCATTTGTGATGTCTTAGAACTCCCCATTGATCGTAGATACTCCCAACAAGTCGATTGTAGAACCTATTATGGACTTTTTGATATGACATCAATAACAAATCAAGTGTGCTTAATAAGATCTACTCTTTAAAATCCATATTAATAGTAAAGATAATGTTTGTATTCTCATTTTCAATATTTAATGATATTTCTCTTCCTATAGAACTACATGTGATAAGTTTGTGGATTTTAATTCTATGACTTACATAAAAATAGTGGCACTCTACTCACCTTACATGGGTATGAACTTATTGAGGCTATAATGTTTGCAAATCAACTTTCGAATCTCTTTGAACAAAATAAGTAGAAAGAGCCTCTAAGACTATTTAATCCATGTTTGGATTATGAGAGACATCCTCTAGAGTGATCATATCGTAAAAGAATTTGTTAGAATGCACTCTAAATTTTCACTTAAAACGTGGTTTCATTTTATGTCTAATCTCATTAACATTAAGAATGTATCAATAAAGTTAGTATGATGATTAATTAGCAATCTACTATTGACGAGACAATTGTTGATGTATAACTCTAGGTTCTAACATTTTCAAAAGTAGAAAATGATATCTATTAATCTATGCTAGGTGGCACTAGCTTTTTTTTAGGCTAAAATAAATCTTTATGTAGCATAAGGTCCCTTTCTCTATGATGAAGCTAATCTTCCCCTTCTTATTTGCTTGTTTTCTAATCTATAATGCTTCACAAAAAGCTTGTTTAGGAAACTTAATTCCAATTATTTCAATATTGAGATGGCCTTTGTTGCTAGCCTTAGTTGTTTTGCTAAGAATTAAATGACATAAAGTCCACCCAAAATGAACTGAAATTTTTTGACACTCAAGTGGCTTACTCATAGTTAGGCTTAAGAAGTTAACATTAATATATTCATATCTTGATCCTTCTAAATTATTTTCACCATACATAAACTAATGGAACCCTATGTTAGCTTAACCTAATTTAGATTCCCTTTAGTCTCAAATCGATAAGCTAAAGAACCTTTAGAATTTATTTGAGTTCCCTAGCAATCATATTGATGAAGAATCTCAAGTAATCTTCCCTTAATGACCTTAGTTATTGATGGAATTAGCATATTGACATCCAAATTCTATTGGACTATTAGCCCAATGGACCCTAATATTGTGTGTGACGCACATAATATAAATTACAAAAATTATACACCTTTCAATCTCTTATACATCAACCAAAGCTCATAGAACTCGTTTTAAGTAACAAAAATATATAATTACATTATTGTTCATGATATGTTTATATATCTGACAAGTTCTATAAGTAAATATAAACAATAACTATCTATTGGCTACAAAATAATACATAAAATCAAACAGCAAAAAATAAAACCTAAATAATCACTCGCTGACTACCCCCACTCTACAGGCTCCTTGCCCTGACTAAAAATATATAAAAATCACATAATAATCAAATAGCACAGCAAGTAAATAAAAATTACAACTGCATTTAATATAAGGCAAAAGAATCAATATTATGCTCCAGTATTCAATCATTATCAATCAATAAGCTATCAGTATTAATGATAATAAAAAAAAAGTCTATCAATATATAAGAAAATAAGTAAAAAGAATATCAATTAAAAACATGTGTTATATAGTGAAAAGCCTCAGTTGACTATGAATTATATTTATGTTACTGATTCTATTACATGTTTCTATCAATCATTATGCCATGCATGGTTATCTATCAATATGACATGTCATTATGTTATATTAATATGTTATATTAGTATGTTATCATTTTACTATATTAATATGTCTATCAATGTCCGTATGATATGCCATGTTATATTAGCCTTAGTGCAAACTCTATCAGTTCTACATCAATTATATCTATCAATCAATTCATATTCTATCATGTATATCATGCAAATAAAATTCTTGATGTGATTATGAATTGCAAGTTAGGACATTCAACTTTAATGTATTATTTTCAACATCTCAAACCCCAACTATTGATTAGTTGGTAATCAAAGTTTAATTTTATCCCAACTATCAATTAGTTAGTCATTAGACTTTATCTTATCATCATTATTCATAAATATTAAATTTGTTCATAGGTGGCTTTTAATGAATTAATAAAGAGTCGTCACTCTTTGCCTATGAATATAATCAGTTAATCGATTACAGGCTTACATCGAGGATTACACCATAAATCTTTAATTTTAAGGAAAGCACATCAGCCCACCCTCCTGTATAAGATATTATATTTTAAGAGCCAATATGTATTAATTATAATGTTGACGGACAACCTTCCTTGCTTACATACAAATACATTATGTATCAATCTTATTATTTACTCTATGCAATTATGTATATATATACAAGAATAGATCTAACTTGGAAAGAATTTCAATCAATTCATCAAAATCAATTACCAGAGCTATCTATAACATCAATCAAACAGTCTAACAAAAATCTATAACATTTAAAACATCAATGTACATGTCGATCTATATCTCAAAAGATCATATACAATACTCAGGAACTACACTATGAACTGAAATCTATCCTGTCCTGAGTACAAAAGAATCACTATAACCAAAAAGAACAAAAACCTGTATATAAAAAGTTACAAAGTGAAAGTTTGATAAATCAAGTGAAAATATATTTTTGGCAGATTTAAAAGAAATAAAAAAACATAGGAATCAAAACCATCAAAAATAGGAATAAGAGCATAGTCATTTACAACTATCAGAATAACTTTCATAATAGGGTCAACGAATAAAAAAGCCTTAGAAAGCTCCCTCTCTCTTAACTCTCTCCTCTTTTATTCTCATTCCCTTCTTCTTCTCCTTTATTTTCTTTCTCGGCAAGCCAAATGAGAGTGAGGGAGGGGTTGTGGGGTGGCAAGAATATTTAAAGGAATGTATTACAAATATTTTTAGTGCCTAGCACCATGGCATGCAAGATCCAGCATCATTGCGTTGTATGCCACCCATAGAGTTACCATAGAATAGAGTGTTTAACCCCATAGTAGTGCTTT